AGACTTTGCGAAGAGATGACGCAACCAGCAGAGAGAAAAGAGAGCTTTCTGCCGTGAGCTGACTCAGCCGAAGCGAAGAACAGAGAGAACGCCATTTTCGCGAAAGCCGTCTCCGTCTCAAATTCTCGCCAAAATGGAAATTTACCTCCTGGCAACACTGCTGTCGGATGCCAGCTCTGTCCACACGTGTGGACAATCGGTGTCAATCGGTGTGCGCCTGCACGTGTATATGCTGTCGACAGGCGCCACGCGACATCTAACTTACAAAGGGAGAGAGAGGGTTCGGCGATGTATCAATCGTGAGGAAGAAACGAATCGGCTGCAGAGATGAATGACGACAGCCAGCAGCCAACTTGAGATGCCCTCCTGACAACCGAAACCCTCACGGCAGACAGAGCCCCCCACTCGTTCAACGAACAAACACCAGACAGACAGACAGACAGGCAATGAGAGAGGGCGAGCTCACACACACATCCATGCAGGAGACCTCACTATCAACACACACGGGCGGGCGTCCGTCGCTACGCCACAGAAAAACCTCACTCGTATGCATCACTCGAGGCCGACAGATAAAGCCGCCACACAGATTTCTACAAATCGTCAGTCGTCAAGTCGTGATGGATAAGGCCGACAAGCCGCACACGACGAGAGAAGAGCCTCTTGCCGCAGCACGACAGCCACAAAGACACTCTCTCCTTGGACAAAGAAGGGCGCCAATGGCCACACACACACACACACGAACACGAGCCCACGGCAGGTCATATGACTAATGGCCGCCATAACGGCAGCCCAGAGGAAAAAGGCGACGAGAGGAAACGTCCCCTCGTCGCCGCACGGGCCGATACATGTAACAACGGCCAGGAGTGGCCGTCAGCATATGACACACTCACACCTACACTCACAGCAGACACACAGACAGACAGCCTAGAGGCAATACACAAAAGACAGGCAACTAGTACGCTCTCCCTCCCTCTCACCCTCCCTCCCTCCCTCCCTCCCTCTCGTGTATGTGTGTATGCCTGCGCTTGCATGTGTGTGTGTGTGTGTGTGTGGAGCTCAATTACGCGTCTGACTAGACCGAGGGCAGCCCAATCGACACAACTAACTAGCCACACACAACATACCATACCCGCATACGCACAGGCTGGATAGTCTACATCGGGTCACCAGACGACGCCACGCCATCCATCCATCGGCATGCAATCGACCAAGACCACAGGCACACGGAACTGTCGTGTCCACTATAAACCAAAACTGTCGGTTTGCCACTCTTTGGCCAATGCAGGATTGCGTCGTGTCTCAACATCACGTCAGTCACCCGAGGACACCAGACAGACAGTGTGTGTGTGTGTGTGTATATATATGGATCACTCGCTCACCGCCCAATGGAGACAAATAGCGCCCCGCCTCACACGACACCCACAGGTCAGACTCGACGGCCGCACCATCCAACACTCGGGCAGCCAGTCAGTCACCGACCCTCTCTCATAGCCACTCATGGAATACACTCTCTCACGGACAACACACAGACAGACAGAGAGCCAATGAGAAGAAGGCGCTCGCACACACAGAGACGTCAAGACTTGGCCACTCACACATCACATCACATCACATAGTGCACCACCACATTGTTGGTTGGACAGGTAATTTAACAGGTAGGAACGTACTGCACACTGCATGCATTAGAGACATTCACTCAGCAAGTCAGCAAATCCGATCTAGAGGATAACAAACACGGGTATGCAAGGCAAGCAGCCAGAACACGACCAGCACACACGCACGCACGCACTAAAGCAGCAGCACGCGACCACCACACACCACACACACACACATGTGCATCGAGACTTCAAAACACACGCATGTCGAGGAGGGCCAGACGGACGGACGGACGGACGGACGGACGGACAGGTGTACCACCAGCTGCTATCGACACAGGAAGGCAGACAGGCAGGAAAGCAAGTTATCACACGCACACAGCTGCACCCACACACGAACGTCTGTCTGTCTGTCTGTCTGCAAGGATGAATAGTCTAAGTATATAAACGTACACACATCCATGGCCACATCCATGTATGCTGCAGGATCCATGCAGGCCTTCCCTTCCCTTCCCCTCTCTCTCTCCCTCCCTCCCTCCCTCTCTCTCTCTCTCCCTCCCTGGCTCTCTGTGGCTTGCCACAATCCCTCCATGCATACCTGCCAATACATGTAACACGAAACGACAAACCCCTCTCTGTTGGTTGGTTCTTCCTTCGCGACAAATGGAATAACAGACGGCCTAGCCTCTCTATCGACGATATCCACACACTAAAATCCCAACCCACTCTCTCCCTCCCTCCCTCCCTGTGCGATGGATGCGCATACCCATACTTACCCGCAACACATACCACAGATAGACAGATACCCGATTCACCTCACCTGCACAGACGTTGACATGACAGATCGTCAAGAGTGAGTGAGTGAGTGAGTGCGTCGTGCCGGTCGGGGTCGGCCGGCGTCAAAACTGTCCTTCTCCCCACATACCACGGCAAACAAGGAATCGACAGCCCATCCTTCTCCCTATTTCACATACCATAGATACATGAACGTCAGCCAGTCGTAGATAGGTCACATAAGTCACATCACATCACATACCCGCCAGCAATCCACCCACCCTTGAGCGCGTCAATCGGTCCGTCACCTTCATATGCGGTGCAAAACTCCGTGTGTGCGACCCATCGAGTACGGTGTCAGCAGCCCGCAACCGCCGACGATCCACTCCCACTGCCACGGACCATGGTCGTCGGCGCCTGCTTGGCCGCGGTGGGGCGTCTTTCTTTCGCCATCGAGTCACACCGGGAGTCGGCCGCCGCCGCCGCCGCAGCAGCAGGGGGCAGCTCCAGTGGCGGGAGTGGACGGGGCGGGGCGAGCGCCGCTCTGAAGAACATAACACACGCGAGAAACACACACACACACACACACATACAGAGAGAGAGAGAGAGATGCATGTGGGTGTGTGGTGCATGTGTCTTCGTGTGGTGCTTCCTTCCTCGCTGACCTGACGGAGTTGAACCAGTAGTGGCCGAGTGCCTCTTCGGCGGTGGGCCGCTCCTGCGGGTCGAGCTTGATGAGGTGCTTGAGCAGGTCCATGCCGGCCGGCGACATCCTCCTGTTGACGGCCGACACGAAATCGCTGCCGAACGACTGGAAGAACTGCTCGATCCCGTTCGTCATCAGGTACCTGCACACACACACACACACACACACATATCGACAGAGACAGACAGATAGCTGCACCATGTATGGGAGCTTGGCTTACCGGAACTTGACGGCCTCTGTGTCAAACGGGTTGGTGCGCTCGATCATGTAGTTCCTGGAGAGCGGCACCGTCAGGAGGTGGAAAAGGCTCATGCCCACCGAGAAGATGTCGGCCTGGACACATACGTCCACGAACCCATCACTCCCTCTCCTTCTCCCCCCCTCTCTCTGTGCGTGTCTTCACGTACCTTTGGACCGTCGTATGGCGTGTTGGTCCACATGACAGGATCCCGGTACATTGCCTTGCCACGGCTGCCCCCAGGGATGGGCAGATAGGGCGACTCCCCAGGCCCTGCAGTTGGGTTGGGTCTCAGCCGCTGCGCATGGCCAAAGTCGATCAGGATGGCGCAGTTCTGGCTGGGCGGGCAGTTGTGGCGCATCAGCACGTTCTCGACCGACAAGTCCAGGTGCACAATGCCATAGTGGTGGATGAATCGCACGCCCTCCAGGATCTGGTAGATGAGGCGCTTGAGGGTCTCCTCGGGCACCTGTGGCTTCGACTTGAGGAACTGGAACATGTCCCCGCCCTCAGCGAACTCGCTGACGAAGAAGTAACTCTTTAGGTTCCGCCCACAGTCGATCCACGTGGCGATGTTGGCGGCCGGCCCGTTGAGCATCGTCAGGTACCGAAGGCAGCCCGTGTCGCCCAGAGGCTGCTCCGGGTCGCGAGTGTCCGGCGCCTTCTCGACGAACTCCTTGGGTACGACCTTGACGGCGAAAGACGGGCAGACGTCACCTGCCGTCGCCTGCCTTCCCTCCTGCCGTTGCCTACCTTGACGGCCACATGCTTCTTCTCCTTGTGGTCGTAGCAGCAGTAGACGTGACCCCTGTTTGCCTTCGCGGCACACACGTGGCGCACGAACTCGTACCGCCCCTGGCCCGTTTGGCTGTCGTACCCCTGCCAGGGGCGGACGATGGCGTAGTCGGAGAGCTCCCAGGGGTGGCCCAGGAACCAGGGCAGGTCGTCCATCCGCTGGTCGTACTGCAGACGCTGGGCGGGAGGCGCGAACGACTCGCCCAGCAACATCTGCACGTAACACTCACACGCGAAGATGCATTTTGCGCTCGAGTGCTTGCGTGTATGTGCATTTGTACACGTGTGGTTGCTCAGCTCACTTGTTCCGTGTGGCCCGGCAAAAAGGGGAGGGAGGTGGGAGGGGAAGGGGGAGGGGATTGCTCGTTCTGTTCGTCGTCAGTGGGAAGCCCTGCTCGTCGTCACCACAGCGCCCGCTTATGTCCTGTCAGACAGGCAGACAGGCCTGCAGACAGGCCGCTCACAGCCTGACGCAGATCAGATCAGATCACAGAGGGGTACTCGTCGCTTCACTTCCGTTCTGTCGTCAGACGTCAGACTCTTTTCCGTTTTCTGCTGGGCTCTAGCCAAAAACAGTCTGAGTGCTGCGTGTCCGGATGTTTGACCGCCAGACGTTCCCCCGCCGATATGTGTTGCGGCGAGGCTAGATATCTGCACACCGTGCGGCGGTGCACGTGTGCTTGTATAGGTGCGAGACTGCTGGAGAAGCAGAGTTCAATGAGACAAAAACCACAAGCGCAGTCTGCTGGTGTGTGCCGACGGGAAACCACTCAAGGCTCGCCATCGAACGTGGAATCAGGCGACCCTGCAGACAATCACATACCATGTCACACACACATAGAGCTGTGTTGTGTTGTATGCTATGCAGTGAGTTGCCTTCATCACCGGCCAAGACAATTAACACAAACTTCGACGGTCTGTCAATGAGGCATCCAGGCAGGCAGCCTCCAGACAAGCACATCACGTTCATACAACCCTCCTGACAAACACTGATATATACTGAGTGATAGATGTCCACTCAGATGCGCACGCAGATCAACACACCCACTGCACTGACCCGCTCGCATACAGACGAACACGTATGACGACACATCCATTGAACAAATCCCTGTCGTCAGTCAGTCAGTCAGTCCAGGCCTTCATAACACAACACTCCTCTCTTCGCAGCCGACCAAACGCAAATGAAAAACAAGTCCTTCCCGCCGGTCAGTGACGAAATCTGACCACACACAGCAATCGTTCGACAAAACTCTGCACAATAGTTGATCACGGCTCATGCCTGCGCGCACCTGACGGACAGGCGAGCCCTCTCCCTCCTTCCCACGGCCATCCACCTCCCTCCCTCATCATGACCATCACTTGTCTGTCTTGGCCGTCTTAGCACTCGAGAAGCCCTCCAGCAGCTGCATCTCGTCAAACCCCCTCCACTGCGTCAATGCGACCTCCTCGCCGCAGAAGAGGTGACTCTTCGGGCGGAATCCCTCGATTTTGGCGTCGTCAGGGTCGTCAAACAGGCCGGGGAACACACCCAAGTACCGCACCTGCCGGCCGTCTTCTTCCTTGACCAGCACGTTCCACACGCGGCTGCCGCATTGGCTGCAAAAGCATCGCTCGAAGGCCACCACGCCGGGAAAGAACGATTGACATCTCGCAAAGCCCTTGACGGTCTCCTTGCTGAGGATCTCGATTGACGAGGCTGGCATGTACCCCGCCCATTGGACGCCGGAGGCCATGGCTTTGCGGCAGTTGGTGCAGTGGCACAGTTTGGGTGGCGATGTGGGCAGGGAGTGGACGATGTACTTTACCGCGCCGCAGTAGCAGCTGGCAGGGATGCTCAGCTCGGCTGATGTCGACAGTGTCATGGTGCTGATTGAAAGATGAAGAGCGAACAAAGGTCAACGGGCGAAATCAAGCCTTTGAATTCCATGACCTTTCTAAGCTCGCAGCCGAGTTAGGGGTTTCGAAAAACAGTTTTCCGAGCGACGTGATTGCCGTGAGTTTCTCCGTTTCTCGAGTTTTCTTTCCCCGTGTCGGCTAGGTGGATAGAGTATCGCCTCTCATGACGAATCTATTCGAGCGGTTGAACTCCTGTGCCCGGACGCGGTAAACCAAACACAACACGAGCCACGCGCAAAGACAGACAGCCAGGGGGGCAGACAGGCCAACACAGGAGCGGGGAGGTCCCACGGGCCAGTCTGGGAGGGTCAGAGGGCTGGGAGAGGCGTCATTGAGGGAGGGGGAGGAAAGACAGGGATAGAGGGAGGCAGGGAGGCGTCGACAGGGCGACTGGGGTGGCTGGGACTGGCGCAACAGACAGAGGGAGAGTGAGACAAGCTGCACATTGACCACGGAAGGCCGACTTGCGAGTTGGAGCATCCCATGTATATGTAACTCACCTTTCTGTGTTGTTGTGTGCTGTGTGCGGTGTGTGTGGTGTGTGTGCAGGGACCAGATAATGTTCTGGTATACGTCCGGGGGTCGAAAGGGCGGATGGTATTCCTGATGTCCTCACACACGCGCCTTCCGACCAACAACTAGGGGATGCCCGCCACTCACCACCACTACCACTACCACTACCACAACCACTCAGCGACAGTCAAGACCAACCTCCTCCTCCCGAAGACACTCACAGCCCCACAGTGATGGCTACAGCAGCAGCAGCATCAGAGACAGCAGTGCCCTTCCACCTAGTCAAGACTGACGGTGTGCATGACGATCATGGTAGGGCGGAGGGAGGGAGGGAGAGGAGGGAGGGAGAGGAGGGAGGGAGAGGAGGGAGGGGGGTTCACGGGGCGATCGAGGTGAATGTGTTGCGCGTCTGTGTGTGTGGTGTGTGGTTTGTGGTTTGTGGTGCAGGTGTGTTTTGTGTTGAGTTTGCTACTGTTGACATGGGTGCCGCTAAGACTGCTGTCGAAATGCTGGATAAGCGGTGCGACATTAGAGAACCGACGCCTGGATGGATGGATGGATACCGTGTTGGCTGCGTGGCTTGTGTGTTCAGGATTGTTGTGACTCCCTCATCGTCGTCTGTGTCTGGTATGTCCGACCACCCCCCGTTATCGCCCCTCGCACCCTCCAAGGCGCTCATGTCCTTCTACTCCACCTGCGAGGCAAGCACCCCTCCACCCTCCCACACCCATACCCATGGCTGCCTCTCTCTGTGTGTGTGTCTTCTCTATCAGCTGTCCCACCACACGGCCCACTTCTCGTGCGTGCATCTGAGCGACAAGCTGTACGCCCAGCTGGAGGCCCCCAAGGGCAGCGGCGGCAAGAGGGCGAGCAAGACGGCGGTTGAGGGGGGTGGGATGACTAAAGGTCAGTTTGTGGCGTTGGTGGACATGGCCATGATGCTTGAGGCCAGCGAGCTCATCCTCACGGTCAAGCGGACACACCCGCACTTCGGTGAGCACCACACAGGGCAGCACACGGATGGATGGATGGATGTGTTGCAGCCATGGTCATTCGCACGTTGTTGTACATGGGGTTCAACCTCATGCCCAGGAAAGGTGAGAAGGGAACGATCATTGACACACACACACTCTCACGTGTGCATCTGACTCTCTCTCTCTCTCTCTGCCGTGTGTGTGTGTGTTGTGTTGGTTCTGCAGTCCGTATGAGCATGATGAAGGACAGCCGTGGGACCGAGCTGCTGACCTTGGCCCTGGGTGGTGGAAGCCTACAGCACACAGACACCGCCTTACACGACGAACAGGACGCCAGCCTCAGACAGGTACCCCTCTCACCAGAGCCACATCAGGAAAAGTACCAAAAGACGACAGCTGTCTCCCTCTCTGTGTGCGCGTCTGCAGAGTCCATCCAATGTGTTTGACCTTGTCGCGCCTCTGGATTTCACCTCATCAGCGCCGCTGCCGCCCTTCAGCCACTCGTCGTCGCACCACTCCTCGCCGGACAGCGGTCTGCTGAGCTCGCCGGCGTCGCACTCCCACTGCTCGTTCAGCTCGCTGGACGGGGGGAGCGATGAGCACGACGACGCGGCCATGGGCGGCGGGGACATCGACGATGACCTCGCTGCAGAACGTAAGCAGGCACCGTCACACACACACACAGAGAGAGAGAGGGGGATGGAGAAGAACACAGAACAAGGGAGTCACTTCTTTTGCCTATCTGTGTGTGTCATCGTCGACAGTGATGCGTTCCGAGTATGCGTTTTCAGTGGCCGACGGCGACCCCTTCCTCTCCTTCGAGGACCTGCCGTGCCTGCTGGAGGTGCCCGCCACACACCCTGGTGCTGTCCAGGGGCTGGTGAGCCCCACGACGCAGAAGCTGGCGCTCAAGGCCGAGTTGGAGGGGGAGGGGCTGAGCCCGTCGAGCCGGCTGTCGCTGCTCATGCCTCACCCGAACCACTTCCAGGAGCTGCTGACCAACACACACGTGTAGACGTGTAGACGGGGGGCTGTCTGCGAGAGGGGGTAGGGTGAGGTGGAGGGGTGTTTGTCTTGATCATTCTCTTGTGATTCTTTCGTGTTGGGCCTCGGGTTGTCTGCTTGATGAGGATGTGGGCTTCTGTTGGCTGGTGTACACCAGCCGACAGAAACCCTCCTCGAGACCAGGCTGACAAAACGAGGCCCCGACACACCACTTCATCTTTGACCGGAATTTTGGCATTGTCTGCAGTATTCTTTTGCCGTCTGTCTGGCCGCATCTCTTTTGCCGTCTGTCAGTTGGGGGGGCACTCACCTTTTTAGCTGTCTGTCTGTCTGTCTGTCTGCATGCACACACAGAACACAGAGAGGAGGAGGAAAAACAAAACAAGTCGCTGAGTGGGAGGACGAAAGAAAGGAACCGAGTGGCGGGCATCCCTGGGGGGGTGGGTGGGGTATATGTGGGGCTGCCTCTTTCCTGTAAGCGTCTGTAGCCGGCAACGCCGAGATGACTGGCTGGGAGGGGCTCGCACGGCAGCACGTTTGCTGCCATGGATATTTCCGTGGCTGCTGCTGCTGCTGCCGCTGCGAGCTAGGGCTGTCCCATCCTTTGACGGATGGACGGTGCCCGTCTTCCCGTTAGGCCACGATCGACTTATGGCTGAATTGCTGGTGGCGGACGCGATAAGGGGGAGGGCGGCATTGTTTTTCAAGCCTGTGTGCATGGTGTGTCTGTGACATGGCGTAATGCACAGCAGCCGTGCGTGCATTGTGTGGCCTCTTGTGGGTGTGGGTGTGGAGGGTGTGGAGGGGGTGGACTGCCATACATACATGCGCTCGCGCATCCATCCATCCATCCTTGAGTGCGTGTACGCGTGTTGTGTTGTGCAAACTTTTTCGATCATCCGTCAAGCGTTGTGCATCCCATGCCCCTCCCCTCCCCTCCCCTCAGCTCTCAAAAGCGAAGTACACACACGGGCCGTTACGTGCCGGACCGTCCATTCATGCGGAGGTGGACGGCCGAACTCTCTCGCGCGTGCCGTGCCTGCCTTCCCTGCGTTGCGTGTGTGTCGGTCTGCGTGTGCGTGTGCGACGTGAGTGGAGAGAACTCTCTGTGTCGGCAATTCAACCAACATTAAAACACACAAACATGCAAGCTTCCATTCACCGGTCGATGAGAGATCTGTATAGACAAACCAGTGTCGCGCACACATCCACCACGCACAGGGAGAGAGGTAGCTGTAGATAAAGAGGGTATGTATGTACACATGGACAGGAAGGAGATCCATCCACTGTCACGAGCGGCGCCGACGCACGCACATGGAACACACAGGCAGACATCCGAGCGGACGTGCAGCACACATGCGACGTGATGATTATGGACGCAGCATTCCGATGGATAGAGACAAAGCGGCGACACACGCGCAGACACGTTCACATGCATCCTGCGATAGACAGACCTCTCTCACGTCCGCCAATAGATACACCCATGGCACCACCATAGAGACAAGCACACTCATACATGCGACCACTCGGAAAAATGGCATGAAGCGGCACATGATCCCGCCGGCCGACTCTCTCTCACGCCCACCACACACATCTCGACAGCTCTCGCGTCGTCAGCGAGAGCATGATTTGGCCTACCGCACTCAGCCACTGCCCTCCGACGCCTGAAGACATCGAGACATTCATGTGTGCCTTCCTCCCCTTCCCTCCCTCACTCTTGCCCCTCTCACCTGCAGTGTGTAGATCTCCATGTCGGCACACGTGAAGCTGACAGTGGCCGCCAATGTGGCGTCTCCGTCGTGGAAGTCGCCCCGATACGTCTTGCCGTCAGGGAGCTCACCCCTCTCCAGCCACTGCTGGCAGCGGCGGAGGTCGCCAGCCGGCCCATCCTTCCCATGCCCCAGCCACAGCCGACCGTTTGCGATGCACACCTTGCCAGTTGGCTCACCCTTGTCGTTCTTCACCGCCCCCTCCGTCCCGGCGACATTCACCCACTGCTTGTTGCTCGGCACGGCGATCTGGACGATGCCGTCACCCCCCTCGAATGCGCCGCTGATGGAGTAGAAGGTGACGGGGCAGGTGGTGCGCAGCTCAGCTTTGGGGTCTGACGGGGCGATGAGGGGGCCGTCAATGTGGCAGGCAAAGCGGTGGCGGCGGGTCTTATGCTCACACTCGATGACGAACAGCAGGCCGCCTTGCAGACCGTCTGCCCGCTGCACCAACGTCTCAAACTCACAGTCGTCATAGGAATTCCTGACAGACACACACACAGGAGGTCAGTTCTCTGCCGCCCCTGTGCTGTTTGTGTGTGGTCTCTGTGACTCACCTGAGGATGCATTTGATGTGGCTGTGGGATTTGCCGATCATCGAGAGGTACACCTGCTCCATGAGGCCGTACATCTCACACGCATACAGCAGCTCGTCGAACGAACTGCTCGTCGGCAGCGGCCTGGCGGCGTCGGGGGCGATGCGAATGCGGCGAATGTAATCGACGATCCTGCGCAACACAACACAACACCACACCATCACGCCACACACAGATGGATCGATGTGTCCGTGTTTGTCAGAATCGTCATGTTACTTGTAGAAGTGGTCAGCGGATACGTGGACCACTGGCCCTCGATACCTGCACACATACAGACATCCACAAGCAGCCGAGGCGATCGATGACCACCGAGTCATCTGATGTCTTCTGGCCTGTGTGTGTTCCCTCCTACTCGGTGAATCTTTTCTTGAGTGTGTCGAAGTCGTCCAGCGTGGCATCGGCTGTAGCCACCGAACGGCCCTCCACAAACACACTCAGCACCTCACTCCCGCCCGTCCCGCCCGCCACCGATGAGTCGATGAAGGCCCCCATCGCAGCCATAAAGCCATCGAAGGCGGCACTCTTGTGGTCGCCGGTCTGCGGCTCGATGGTGAGGTCCGTCTTGGCCAAGAACCGGTTGTGGTAGAAGGCGAATGCAGGCGGGCAGCCCTCACAGATCTCCTTGACGTCGATGCGGTTGTCCCTCAGGTAACGAAGCTTGACACTCAACCTGAACACAGATGACCATGACAACTGCTGCATGCCCGCCCAACATGCCCTTTTCCTCTCACCATTTGAAGTAATCTGGATCTGCATCGACGAAGGGAGTGCCGTTGCCGTGCGTGAGCAGCCAGTCGCCAAAGCGATGAAGCAGAACAGCCAGGCAGGTGCCCTTCAGCTCATCGTGCAGCAGCGAATCACGAGGGAATGTCATGACCGTCCCGCCAATGTCCAGCAGCATGGCTCCGTTACTGCCGACGATGAGCATCTCTCCTTCGTCACGCGTGCCGGCAGCCGATGAATGTGAGCAGCCCATGGCGTGCAGATGACAAATCCGATGACTGCCGTTGCGCCAGACAGACAGATCTCGGTACAGCCGGCCCTCTTCTGTGTCCTCCAGCGCCTGAAACCTCGGACGCTCTCGAACTGCGAGCTTAGCCAAGCAGATACATGTGGGAGCCTCCCTCGTCCACTGAGCGGCTGCCTTTGTTGTCGCGGCAGGCCATCGAACACACAGCAAGGGAAGCAACACTCATGTTCTCCGACACCAGGACAAGCAAGACTACCTCTCAGCTGCAGCAGCAGCAGCAGCGGACCGGCCACATCCATGAAAGCACCACACAGCGCTCGGCCAGTGCGGCAAGCACAAGCACTGCCAGCGGGCGAACAAAGGTGCGTCATTGATAGTGAGAGGGAGTGACTGTCGCCATGTCAATCTCTCTCTCTCTCTCTCTCTCTCTTGTCTGTTCAGGTGCGGTTCGTGCCGCCACAGCTGGCAAGGAAGTCGTCGATGGCCCAGCGGATGGCGAGGAGGACACTCAGACACACTGTGCTGGAGATCAAACATGGTTAGTGGGACCTGATCTGTGTTGGCGTGGATCGGTGTACTGCACTCACTCACTCACTCACTCACTCACTCACCCATTCATTCACTGGTTCATTCAGTCAGTCAGTCATTGGGTTGTGTGTGCATGTGTGTGCTTCAGGTGGTTTGACGGAGAAGGAGCTGACGACGGCCGAGCTGCTGCGGATTGTGCACCAGCACAACAAATACCACGTGGTGGAAGACAAGTGAGGTGTCCACACACATGGACTCACACAGAGAAAGAGACGCACACACGCGTGTGTGTTTGAATGTGTGTGTTTGTGAATGTGTGTGTGTGTGTGTGCAGGGCGCCGGGAGCTCTCAAGTGGGCCAACAACTGACCGATCAAATGAATGCTCTCATGTTGTGTTGTGTCGTATGTGGTGTGCTGTTTATGTGTGCAGGTATCGTGACATCCGGCAGATCCTGTCAGACGTGTCGGGCACTCAGCCGTCGTTCGAGGTGCGCCGCAACTGCCTCCTCATCAACCTGCCGCCAATCAGGGCTATCATACTCCATGACACGGTCAGTGAGTCGATGCACTTCTGCAGGCACTCGTGCAATGACGGGTTATCCCTCCCCCTCTGTGTGTGTGTGTGTGTGTGTGTGTGTGTGTAGGTTTTGATCATTCCCCAGATCGCCGACAACTTCCCGCTGGAGCTGTCCCTCGACCCGTCTGTGCTCGAATTCGACTTCGATTCTTTGCTCTATGAGGTCGGTGTGCATATCCCTCCATGTGACTGACCTCCATTGATGGGTGTGTGTGGTGGACACATGATGTATGCAGGCGACCGACGTGTTTCCCGAGTCGGGTGATGACGCCAAGAAGGTCGCCCCCGAGCCATCGTCCTCTCTCCGATTCCGAGGCAGCTCTTATGGCAGGTGACGTGACATACACAAACACGCGGCAAGCCATAATGGTATCAACACATGTGGCTGGCTGGTTCAGGGGTAAGGTGTCGCTGCTGCCGTTGGTGAATGACCACGTGTCGACCCAGGAGGAGCAGGACGATCAGCGCGAGAGGGAGAAGGAGCAAGCGGAAGCCGACCTCAAAAAGAAGAGCACCAAATTCTCCGACTGCGTCGAAAACATCCTGCAAATGTCCAAACACAAGGTGCCCATTCATGCGTGTCGCCACACACACACACAGGGAGCAGGAGAGAGGCACGGGTCTGTGCCCGTTTGTGTGTGATTGTGTGTGTGTTTGTGTATGTTTCTGTGTGTGTGTTTCAGTGGGGTCAAGGGGACCGCATCATTCCCTTTGAGTTTGCGGTGCTCGAGGCGGTGCTGGTTGAGGTCTGCTCGGACCTACACTCGGATTTCAAGCCTCTCAAAACAGCCGTTGGTCAGCATTCCCCCCGCCATGCCCCCCACGTGTTGGTGTATGTGTTGGATTGGTGTGTGCAGAGTACACGTGCAACGAGCTGGGCCAGGACGGTTTCGCGTCCACACGCACAGTCGAGGGTGTGAATCGTCTCAAGTCGTGCCTGACCAGCCTCCAGTACCGGGTCAAGGGCATCCAGAGGGCCATCGCACAGCTGCTCGACAACGACGAAGACATGAGCAGACTCGAAATCTCGCGGTTCTATGAAGTGGGTACCCCCCTCCCTCCCGCCATGCACACACACCCATTCACAAATACACGGATGTGTTTCTCCTTTTTTGTTGTGTGTTCAGCGTCCCAGTGAGAGGCCAGTGCCGGCCCGTCAGTCGTCGATTTTGATCGAGACCCCCTCAGCAGACATCACCCGGCGGTTCTCGCAGCAGCCTGTGCTCCACGCTGCCCACAGGAAGGGCCACGACCACCGGGCGGCCACCGTCCCTCCCATATTCGCCGAGGCGTTCCACGGCTCAGCACACTCACAGGCAGACAGCCCACATGTACGCCGCACCACAACGGCCACGCACACACATGGATGTGTGTGTGTGTGTCTCTCTCTCTCCCTTGTGTGGTCGACCAGTTTGGGACGGGCCATGTTGGTGCTGCTGAGGAGCAGCTGACGAATGCAGGGACGGCAGACAGCCCGATGGACCATCAGTCTGAGGAGGGCAGGAACGCTGCCGCGCCAGTGTCGCCTGAGAACCACTTTGAGCATGAGGAGGCCGGTGACGAGCCGTACAGCACCGAGGACGTGGAGCTGCTGCTCGAGTGCTACATGCAGGAGGTGGAGCTGCTCGACCACAACATCAGCCTCCTTGACGAGGTCAGTGGGTGCCTCAGCAAGCAAGCATCAGACAACAGTGCATTTGCTTGAGTGTGCCATTCATCGCATTGATGCGTCGCTCTGTGTTACCGGTATGTATTCTTGTGCAGACGCTGGATGACGTGCTGCAGCTGATGAATCTCCATCTCGGTGAATGGGTCAAAGACAGACAGACAGACAGACCCCCCCGAGGTGTGCGTATGGCGTGTGGGTATGGTGTTGTGTTGTGTGGTCGATCAGCCACCGTGCGTAACAAGGTGCTCAAGCTTGACCTGGGTACGGTACAGGAGCAAAGTGACACAATACACGCAGACAGAAGCGGCCGTGCATCATGCCTCTCTTGGTGAATGTGATGTGTGTTGGATGGACTGACTTGTGCTGGCAGGTCTGAATGCAGTGGGTGTCGTTGTGGGCTTCGGGGCGTGTGTCGGCGGCCTCTTCGGAATGAACCTCAGGTACGTACGGTCAGCTCAGCTTGCTGGTGGAGGCATGGCATGTCCAGCCCCTTTCTGTCTGCCCGCCCGTCCTGCTGTGTCCTACGTGTGCAGGAGTGGCCTTGAGGACAGCTTCACCGCGTTTTATGCCGTGTTCGTGTTCTGCATGGTCTCGTGCATCCTCACTGCCATCGCCGTCGGTACGCCGGCACGCACAGCACAGATGGACAACAAGCACTGCAGACGGGCGAATGTGTGTATCTGTGTGTGTGTGTGTGTGTGCCAGGATTTTTCTTCAAGAGGGCACTCACGCTGTAGCCAGGCATCGCAGGCATGAATGATCGGTGAATGTGTGTAAGTAAGGAACCGCTACGGTGCGTGCGGGAGGGGGACGGGTAGCTATAGAGCTGTAGAGTGATGGTTATTGTACATGTACTGTAGTACTACCTGACTCACCGCTACCATGACTCTCTCCAGGCATATGTATGGGGCCATATGTATTGCTCTAAAAGCCGTGCATGTGCCATTATGGCCACACAGTACTGGAGATCTGAAGAATCGAAATAGCGTCGGACGCTTAGGACAGCCATTTCCGTGCACCCGACTCTAGCAGCCTCTTCTCGCCGCGGATTGCAGGCAACTAATGGCCAGCAGCATGCAGGGGCTCCACCAGTGAGTGCTCTAGAGCCATCCTGCGGCTCATCGTCTGAATTCAACGATCCCACACATCCCCTCCACCCTCCTCACCTATCCAGCGCCAAAGCACAACAACGGACCGTTCCAATCCCATCGGCAGCTGCCCAATCCTCTCCAGCACCGCCACACTTCGGCTGTGAGGGCATTTCGGTCCGTTTGCATCGCTGGATTGGGCGGGTGAGGGCGAGAGAGGCCACCAACGATTTGCAGAAGCCATCGCCGTGATTTGAGGACAAATCGATGGGCTGATGGCTCTTCTACGCCGGTAGGAAGGCTGCTGAGGGCCATTTGCAATGACAAAACACGTATTGAACAATGTGTACGTGTGTGTTTGGTTTGTGTGCGTATACGTATGTGTCTGTGTGCGTTGCAGAATCCACTCACTTATCCGTTGAGTGAGGAATCTTCTCATCCAGCCGTCTGTCGATTGAGATGAGGGGTGGTCTGCTGTGGCTGTCGCTCATCTGCCTCTGCTGTGTGGCCGCCGCCTCAGGCGGCAGTGCCGTGGATGTCAAGACGGTGTTGCTGCAGGACTTTGACTTCTACCACACGACCGACCAGATTCACCACCGGCTCAACCAGCTGAGCCAGTCATGCCCAGACCTCACTTTGGTGTGTCTGGCCAGGCTGACCAAGAGAGAGAAAGAGCGAGGCAGGCGTGGAGCAATATGATTTGTTTGTGTGTGTCTGTGCTCTGGCTCATGCAGTCTGAGCGTCGCAACGGTTCTGCATCGATTGACGTGGTCACCGTTCGCAAGAAGGGCGTCGAGCCGATCAACCGCGTCTTCATGCTCTTCGGCGAACACGCCAGAGAGTCAATGAGCGATCACGCCAGAGAGCCAGAATGAGCCAATGGCAGCCACAATTGCTCGTCACTCGTGTCAGGTTGATCTCTCCCGAGACGGGACTGTACATGATTGAGGCGCTCTGCCAATCGCCGACCGTCAAAAACAAAAAGCTGCTCAAGGAGGCGAAGTAAAGACCCACTCAGACTGAAGGACATCTGCGGCGGCTTACCTGTCCGTGTGTGTGTCAGGCACGTGTTGGAGAGCACCATGTTCTCGATAGTTGTCAACGGCAATCCGCAGTCCCGCCGGCGAGTCGAGGAGGGCGAGTATTGCGTGAGGGTCAACGAACACGGTGAGGCATGAATCAATGAATGGATGCACGCCCCACCGTGAGCTCTCTGTGTCTGTGTCTGATGTGTGCAGGAGTCGACTTGAACCGCAACTGGGACGACCACTGGACGGTATGCATGTGTGGAGGAAATGGGTGGCTGACAAGACACCCTCATGTATCGGATACCCTGTCTGTCTGTCAGTCTGAGTCAAATCTTGGCCCCGACACGAATCCTGGTGCCAAGCCCTTCTCCGAGCCAGAGACAGCCATCTTCCTCAACCTCGTCGAAGAAGTCAAGGTGAGAGTGAAACAGGCCGAGAGAGAGAGACATGATTCGTTCGACTCTGCTCCCTTTCCGCCTCAGCCGACGACGTTCGTGACGGTCCACTCAGGGACGTTCGGCATGTATCAGCCGTGGGCATACGAGCAGAAGGAGGCGCCCAGAAACGCACAACGCATGAGCAAAATACTCAGGTATGTGAGTGGGGCTTACACAGCCACAGAAGGCCTTCATCTGTGTGTCCTGTGTATGTATTGGCCTGCAGAGCGCTCGACGCGAAGCACTGCACGTGTCCGTTCGGTGCAGCGGCAGTGCAGGTGGGGTACCCATGCCCGGGCACATCCCTCGACTTCGTCTACGACAAGCTCGACCCGCCGGCCAACTACGCATTCGCATTCGAAATCTACACATCCCCCTCTCGCACCGTTGGTCAGCCATCTTGCAGGATCAAAGGCAATCTTTCCGTTCTCATCTTTGTGTGTGTGTGAATGCCGTCAGGGTTGAAAGAGCGATACGAGCTGGCGATGCGAAAGCAGTCAACGGTCGACGAGCAAGACGCGGCGAGCTTCGTTGCTGTGGCCACCCGCGCGTCGTTTCTGCGCAAGAAGAAGCACAAGCGGACCGCCAGGGCACGGGTGACGCCCGACGGGCGGGTGCTGTTCGATGAGGGCATCGGCGGCCTGTGGAACTACAACCCTGTAGATGGCAGCTCCATGACGTAAGAAATGACAAGAAGCGAGCGAGCGAGGCGAGGCAGGGAAAGGTGGCACGAATGTGTTTTGTTGCGCGTGTTGTGTGTGTGGCAGTCCCGAGCAGTGTATGGAGCAGTTTAACCCACAGTCGAGGAAGGACTACGACAGAACCGTCAGCGTGTGGGCGACGGTGCGCACCCTCGCAACTGCCGCCTTCCGCACAGGCAAACGACCGTGTTTCCGTTCTTGCGCTTTCTGCAGGTGTTCATCGAGTTGGCGCAGATGGTGTCCGACGACAAGAGCCACACGCACAAGCTAGAAGAGCATCCACTCCTCTTCCAGAGTCGCAGCAAGGAGGGCTGCTTCGGCACAAAAGACAAAGTCTGACCGGCCGTTCCGGGCCACACCCAACCATCGCTAGTGCATGCATTGATGCCCATGGTGACTCTATGATGGACAGAAAGACTCATCTGTGCAAATGTGTGTGACTCCCTGGCAAACGAAGGAACCACACAAACAAAACAAACAAAACGTTTCGAGTCCCCGCGTAAATTAAAGTGTACGCATCTGGTGCTCGTTACGCATCGCAGCAAAGACAAAACGATGCTCTCCCCAGCTGCACACGACCCCCCTCACGTCCCCGACACCCACGTGTGATGTGACTGTCCTGCCGCCCCTCCGTTCGTCTGCTCGACAAGACGATGTTGTCATCGCCGTTGCCTCCCCACCCCTCACACCCCGACCCCCTCCACGAGCGGCCGTGGCTCAAGTACCAGCCCGGCGCCAAGCGCACCAGAGATGGCTGGGTGGTCGGCGCTGCCCGAGGCCAGGGCGTTATCAGGGAGCGGCAGCGATGGGAGACCGCCTTCAGGCTCAAACGACACAGAGAGCTGCTCGCAAGAAAGCCGCCCCATGGTGGGCACGGTGGAGGGGGCGGGCGCGATGGCGGTGGCGGTGGTGTTGGGTTGTCGCCGTCTTGGTCCGAGGCGACGATGTTGGAGCACCGCCACCCTGCGTTCCCCCCTGCCCCCTCCTGTCATTACAGCAAGGGTTACTGGGACACGATGAGCTGCCTCAGCACAGCCACAGGCGGGCCGTGTGGGGGAACCGGCTCGTGCCGACCTGACACAGGTAAGTAACATTGGACCGAGGGAGAGAGGGAGAGGGGTGGAATATGTTGACTGTTGTGTGTGTGTGATTCAGCGAGCGGCAGCAGCAGCCTGACCCCTCACTGCTCAGCTGAGACGAGCCCCCTCTCTCTCCCCATCCCGGTGCGGCGCACCCTCCCCCCCTCTCCCTCCATCGCCCCATCGGCAGCCGCATCATCTGTGTGCTCGTCAACCACATGTGGTACCGACACCACACAAGCCAAGCGCAAAGGAGACCACGGCAGCAGCAGTGCGTCCGCGGCTGATCACGGCAGTGGGAGTGGTGGGTCGTCATCTGCCAAGGCAGAGGAGGTCTCTGCTGCTGCAGCGGCCGATGCAGAGCCGGGGGACGGTGGAGACGATGGCGATGGCGTGGGTGACGATTGGTCGCCTGATTTGCAGATACGGGAGGTTCTCGACTGTTTGCCAAAAGGTGCGTGTGGCGCAGACACACAGACACACACACACACACACACAGATGGCCTGGTGTGTGTCATGACACAGGAGAAGTGTCCGAGTATCTGGTGTGGAGCAAGTGTGTGACGCCTCTTCGTGGTGTGGCCCTGCGTGAGGAGGACTTGCGCGTGGTGTGCGAGCGGCTCAGCAGCGAGTGGGCTGACGGGATTTCTGTCCAATCGGATCAGTCGGATGGCGTGCATACACCACACACACACACACATAGCAACACCTCACACAAGGCCCGTGGGAATCGATAAATCAATCAGTGAGGGACCACCGTAGGACCGCATACGTGTACTTATGTAGCCAGCCGATCGTAGCTAGCCTCCCAGCACACCACAGCACACCACAGCACTCGATGAATGGATTGGTCTGCCTTCCGCCCTTGGCTCTCTTCTTTTTTTCTCCCTCTCGCTCGCTCGTGGACTGCCCGCGTTTTTGGGTCACAGGAAGGAAAGACGCTCTTGGCTGCTGACTGATGGGATGAAATTGGGATGGGAGGGGAATGACCGAGTGAGTGAAAAGGTAAGTCGCTCAATGGTGTGCGTATGTGTGTATGTGTGCGTGTACATGTGCACGTGTATGGCGAGCTCGATCGAAGTTTATATGCCTCTGTTGCTGGTGGGCGGCGGGTGGATGGATGGTGTGGGTGGGTGGGTGGCAGAAGGCCTTTTGGTTGGCCTGGTTTGCCTGGTTTGCCTGCTTGGCTGACCGGCCATCCATTCATCCATTCGTCCGTATGTGCATGCCATGCCATGTGATGTATCTCTTTATGGCATTGCACCCATTGCACCCATTGCACTGCATACCATACACACCATATATATTAAACACACCACACAAAGAAGGGAAAAGGTGTGTAGTTTCAGTCATGATCGCACGCACGTCACGCCACGCAAAGCACAACAATTAGGGAGGATTTGGGGCATACTCTCTCTCTCTGTCTCCCCTGAGCGACACCACAGCGTCTTGCACACGAAGGTACGTTGGGGCGTGTGTGTGTCCCAGGGTGTGTGTCTGGTTGTGCCCACGGTGTGTGTCTGGTGGCCGGTGGGCGATGTGCTCAGAGCAAAAACGCTCGGGCGATGGATGGGCACACAGAGAGGTCTGTGTGGTTTTTGTGTCGTCTGACACAGACAGACGGATATTCGGCTGGCTGTACATTGGCTGACGGATTAGAGATGAGACGCGATAAGTCAGTCGAGTAGTAATTCAGCTCAATTATGACCATGGACAGTGAACGGTGTGTGGGAGAGGAGACATTGAATGCATTGGCACCACGCACGCGAGACAGACTCACGCCGTGGATACGTTTTTCTAACATGGATGGATGGGCCGATATACACGACACACCCAACTGAACAAATCAAACTCACACCCTGCTCTGAATCCACAATGTCAAGGCCCATTGGCCAACTTCGTCTTTCATCGAGGGGATGCCTATCCTCCCATTTGCCGCATCTCCAGGTTAAGCAGGCGGGGAGACGCATGGCAGCCAGGATCTGGTTCATCGTTTACGCACTCGAAACATGATTGGCTTCGTAAAACAGATTCAAACAGGCTGACCCTCTCTAAACCCTTTAACACAGCGACCACTCATCAAGATGAAGTGCCTTGCCGTCGGTCTCATCGCCCTGCTCGCCGTGTCGCAGTGCGCCGCCATCCAGCGGGATGCGGCACTCTCAAGCGCCTTCGTCCCGCCCACATCGCGCGTCGGCCTCAGCAGGTCCAACCTGCTCAAGCAGAGGACAGATCGGCAGCTCAGCGGCCTGGATGTCGCCCCAGCTGCTGCTGGCCTCGCAGGCCTGATGCCGCTCCTCGCCCCTGCTCTTGCGAACGCTGAGGTGAGTCAGATGCGCAGGGTGTCGTGAGATGAGAGCGCCATGTTTGTGTACTCTGTCTGTCGCATTTGTGTGTTCGTGTCTGTGTGTGTGTTGGGTCTGGTCTCGTAGGTTCTGGATTCTCTGTCGACCTTCGAGCTTGCGAACCAGACAGTGATCTGGCAGCTGCTGTGGACCTTCATCATCGTGACGATGGGCCCCCTGATCATCGGGTACCTCTGGTTCAACTCGACAGACGCCGGCGCAGAGGTCGAGGGCCTGCAAAACGTCGAGAGTTGAGTGTGTGTGTGGGGTGGTTGGGGGGTTTTCTTGCCGCTTGTGTGTGTGTGGTTGATTGAGCTGCTGCCCTATGTATGGTGTGTATGGCGTTTGGCTGGCTGACCGGCTGGCTAGATGGGCGGGCGATGTGCTGATATGATAATAAGGAAGGCTGTCTGTGAATGAAGTGCAGTGAAGTGACGTGAATGAGTGTGTCTGGGTGGCAGGCCTACAGGCACCTGCCTCGACACATTGCATGTCACCTAACGGACAGACGACAGTCGACTGCGTGTGCGTGTGCATGGGATGGACAGACGGACGCTGCGGCCATTGATTTTTGTGTGTGAAAAGCTTTTCGTTCTTTTCTCGCGTCAGACGTACAGCAGAAAGCCGCAATGCTTCTGTATATCACATCGCGGTAGTGATACAAGAAGCTTTCAGATCACATCACATGCAGGCAGACAAAGAGGGATGTGTCAGCGCATCCACGGACACGCACACGCACTCGGGGAGAGTCAATCACCGAGTGTCGACCCACCGCTTGAAAAGATGACACACAGTATCCACCCATCACGCCATCCATCCATTCATGAGCGGCTCAAGGCACCAGAGCACAACAAGAAGCTACTCCTGACTGCCAAAAGCCCTCACGCTGCCCCACATCCCAAGCAACCAACCCCATCAGCCAGCATGGATTGATCAGCATGGAGTGTTCACTTCTCGTTGGCGTTGGGTCCCTTCCTCCTCCCTCCGGGCGTCACAACGACGCTCACGAACCGACGGTTGTACTGGAAACGCTTCTTGGCGCGACCTGCACACACACACACACACACACACACATCGACGGTGCCACGTGAATGAGATGAGAGTTGGGTGTCGGAGTGACTGTCTGTCTGACTGACCAGTGAGTGCTTTCTTCTTTTCCTGCTTCTCCATCTTGGGCGTCTGGTTCTTCACCTTGCCCGCACGGGCCAACGAACCGTGCACCTTACCTGAAGACACACACACACACACACACACACAACACGCCACAGCCAGACAGACAGAGATGTTCAGCCAGATGCCGCTCGGCGCTGGTCTTCACGCCACACTCTCTGCATCTCCCTCCCTCTGTTGGCCTAGCTTTATCTTCCTTCCATCACGACACCACCTGTCTGTCTGTCTGCCTGGATCTCTGCCGTGACATCTCCGCCTCACGTTTTCTCTGTTCTGTCCCTCCCTCCCTCCTGCCTCCCCTGTGAGCTTACCCATGGCTGAAGGGACGCAGAAAGCTCTGGAGAATTCTGCGAGCTGAGCTGCGAGCTCAAACCCTAAGCTCGCAATGAAACCCGGCGAAACACGGGGCAAACACAGAGCGTCCAGGGCCAAGGCGGACGTGTGTTTGACGTGTGTTTGGCGTTTTGGGACCTATTTTTTTGTTTGTGGCTGAATCAAGATGGGGGCCCGTCAGTCCTTCTCCACTGGTGGAGTCTCAGATGAGGTGTGGTGGGAATGCGAGGCCGGGGACGTGGAGACCGCTCTTGATGCAGCGACAGTGGACCTTCCTTCGCCAGCCGCTGATACTGAGCTGATTGTGCGCTCTGATTCTCGGTATTGCCGGCCCCACGTCGCTGTGATGATGAGTGAAGGCATGCACGGCTCCCCTCCCCCTCCACCCCCTGGAAAGGAGCAAGACAGCAACAGGAAGACCAGCATAGCCGTGTTCGACATCGACACGTTCTTCCCCATCACTCTCAGCCACCACCAGCAGCAGCAGCATCGCGGCTCGGCCGGGACTGATTCCGACCCCACCCCTCTGCACCACCAGGCGTCTGACGCCGTGACGCTGTCCCTCCCCCCTCCCATCGCGACGGTCACCAGCGACGTGCTCTTCGCCACGAGCGGCCCTCAGCTGAAGGTCGATGATGATGCAGAGGGGGAGGGGGAGGACGAGAGGGCTGAGGACCCCCAGGGCGGCATGAAGGAGGCCTTACCGGTGCGTTGGTTTGGTGGGTGGACAGGCCCATCATCGTGCGCACGTGTCTCTGTGTCCGTGTCCGTGTGTGTGTGTTTGGTACAGATGGGCGGTGCGTACGAGTTGGCAGAGCACGACCGTCCCGCGTTCTTCAGGTGGTTCATGCAGCGCTTCTTCCTCGACTACGCCAACGGCAGGGTCACCGCCACACGAGTGCACCTGAGCACCGACGCTGACCTGATGCCGCAGCAGCGTCGTGGCACCGAGGTCTTCAAGCGGGCCAGCGTGCATGTGGAGGAGCGGCCACAGCCACTGCACCCTTCCGGCACCGTCAGCAGCGAGGCCCCTGCGGCGTCTGACCCCCCCGACGCCCCAGTGGCCATCGACGCGCGACGGTCCAGCAACAGACCCCGGTGTGTCTCCTTTCGAGTCCCCACACGAAAACGGGAAAGACACCTCGTTTGATGGGCTCCTGCATCTCTGTCAGGCTGTCGACGTCGCAGTGCCAGCTGTTTCTCGACCGCAAGGCCTCCATCCTGACGCTGCAGGAGCGGACAGAGGCGTCCGCGATGCTGCTGGGCAAGGTGGAGTCAGTCAGTCCGGGGGCCTTGTCGCTGCCTGACGACTGCACCGGCAGCGAGCGGCTGACGGACGTGCTGCCTGAGCTGTGTGTGGAGGTGTACACCTCGGCCGTGAGGCGAAGAGACACACCGTGAGCCAAAGGAGAGAGAGAGAGAGAGAGAGAGTCAGGCAGGCAGCCACTCAGGGAGAGCTCCTCAGTACATGCGAGAATGGTTGTGTCGGTCTGCGGATGGATGGATGATGGTGTAGGCATGCGCGTCTGGTGTTTCGGACGGAGCGGGAGAGGAACAGGTTTGTGCTGGCCATTCGGTCGCTGGCCATGTACCACCAGCTCAAGGCCGACACCGGCCAGCTGACGCGGCAGACGAGCGGCACCAAGACCATCGCCACATCCGGCAGCAGAACCAGCATGGGCGGCTGACCTTTGAGTGTGTGTGTGTGTGTGTGAATGTGGGTGTGTTTTGTGTCGTCAGTGAGATATGGACGGATCAGTGCAGCTCATTCTTCTCAAGTATCTATCCATTGAGATCGATGTGTCAACACACAAATACACGGGGTGGTCCGCATCAAAGGTACACACACGCATCGCATGACTGAGCACACCAACGAAGGAACGAACGAACGAACGAACGGTGACCAATGAGCAGCGACAGAAGAGGCCAAAGGGGAGGGGGAGACAAACGACCGCACAAGCGACGATCATGACTTGTCCCGGTCCCGCTCTTCCTTCTCCTTCTCTTGCTGCTGCTGTTGTTCTTGCTGCTCTCTCTCCAGCCTTTTCTGCTTGACAAACCGACCAAACGACTCGCCTCTCTCCTCGTCCAACAGCTGCTCATCCTCTGAACCATCCCACACCCCCACACACAGAGAGACAGACATGACACACACACACCATTACACCCAGACTGCCTCTCACTGCACTCACCCAGTGATGCCAGGCCTTCCGGTGGCTTTGGCTGGTCCTCTTGCTGCTGCTGCTGCTGCTGGCGAGTCGAGGGCGGCGGGGTGGCGTCATCGAGCAGCTCGTCAGGGCCGGCCACACTCCGGTCAGCGATACTCGACACACCCCCTGCTGCACCTGCCATTGAAGGTGTGTGAGTGGGTGGGGCTATGGGGGTGTGGCTTACGGTATGAGGGCATCTCTGGGGGCTCTGGTGGTGCAGCTGTGGGCGGCGGTGGTGTGGGTGTGGGTGTTGGCGGTGCGAATTCCTCCGCCATTGGGAGTGCGTACTCGTCGACAGCCTCTCGCTCCTCCCTCTCTGCCATGGCAGCGATGCCTTCCAACTCCTCCTCTTCGTCGGCGAAGAGCCCTTCGCCACCCTCGAGCGACTCTATCAGCTGCCACACACACACACACACACACACAGAGAGAGAGAGAGAGAGAGAGGAAAGGGGAATTGTTGTGGATGCGTTAGCGCATGATGGCATGTGGCTCTTACGCGTCGCTCCTCCATGGCTTCAATGTCCTCATACTCCATCTCCTCCTCCTCCCCTTCTTCAGCAGCAGCCAGTGCCGCACGCTCCAGCTCATCCTCACCGACACCAGCAGCAGCAGCAGCAGCACTGAGCTCACCCTCTCCCTCGACGGCCTCTCGGCCACGATCTGAATGACGGGCAAGGAAAGCCACCACACAGGAGCTCCTGCGAAATTGTGGGGTGGCCAGAGAGAGGGTCAGGGTCACCTCTGAAGGCTTCTCGTATGGCGGTGATGCCTGGGGACGGGTGACGGGGGACCTCTTTGCCCTCCGCCTCCAGGCGATTCTCCCTGTGGTTATGTGAGCACGACAACGACACACACAGACATGAGATTTGATTTCGTCTGCTGCGATATGCTGTGCGTGGCGTAGTGTGGTGTCTGATTACCTACCTGAGCTTGACGATGATGTTTTGGAGGTGCTTGTCCTCCTCCTCTGCGATCTGGGTCTGTCACACCACACACACACACATACACATGCAGCCCGCATTGCCTGTCTGTGCAGGGGGATGTTGGTGTGTGGTGTGGGTGGTGTGGGTGGCGTACCTGCCAGTAGGCCTGGCCTGAAGTGAACAAAGGCTCCACACTCGCAGAGGCCGCCTGGGCCTGCACACAGACACTCAAGATACACACATATCACATGCAGCGCAGCGCAGCATGGTCCGTCCTTGTGGCTGTCTCACTATACCATGAGGATCTTCTGCCTCTTCTCAAGCTCCATCCTCAGACCGTAGAACCACTTCTCAGTCTGACAACACACAGACAGACAGGATGACGACTGAGGGAGGGAGGGATGGCTGTGTTTGTGCAGACAGACGCACCTCTTTGAAGGCTTTCTTGCGCGAGTAGCCCTTCTCGTTCATGAGCCGCAGCTGCCGCGCCACGAACTGCATGGCCGGGTGGTCGTCACGGTACCGGTCGTTGCCTGATGAACCCGTCAACAAATCGGACACACCAACACACACGCACACACACACACACGCACCTTTCGACCAGTCATTTCCGTCCACAAAGCAGTCCTGCCACACGAAAAGAGCAGCACAGCACAGCCCAGCACAGCACAGCCGCCATGCAGAGCAGACAACACGCCAAGCAGCATTCGTACGCGGTTGTCAACCACACAGCCCTACTCACCTGGAAGCGCAGGTCCGGGTATTTCTTGAGGAGGTGCAGGACCATGTTGGGGTAGGGGTTGTGTATCCGCCGGGCCTGACACTGCAGGCTGTGCAGCTCCAAAGGGGGGGCGCGCTCCACCTGTGTGCGTATCGATGCGATGCGGGCACACACACGGACACTCACTAATCAATTAATTGCAGGGGTTCGCCTTCTGTCCGCTTACTGCAGTGAGCCATTTCGGCCGGTCATACACACCCTGCACACACCACACCAGACACCAAACACAGCACAGCACAGCCACAAGCAACGGTGGCTGTCCCTTCCCCTCTCTCTCTCTCTCTCTCTCGCTCTCTGTGTGTGTGTGTGTCTGGGTAGAGGAGGAGAGCCTGACCCACCTGGTCGACCATTCTTCGCATTCGCTCCACAATGTCATACCTGGGGAAACGGCGGAAGTTGGTGCCGTTGGGCTGCACATAACCACACACACACAGACACAGATGAGTTGCAAGAGAGGCAGGCAGCAGCAGCAGTGCATCTATCGGAGATCTGCCGCTCACGTGCACGGCGCCCTTTGGCATTTCGTCACATAGAGTAGAAAGGTGCTGCTCTGTCAGAAAGGAAAGGCAGAAGCCGATCTCCCTCCTCTGTGTCAGAAGTGCAAGTCGGTCCAGGGTTTAGGGCCTAGGGTTCATAGACCGACGATCCACTGATCTGTGAGACAGGACGGCTGTTGAGTCTTTGTCCGTTCCATGAGACAGGCCATGGCGGACAGGACGTCAGACAGAATGGACTGACGCATACTACATGTCCTACATGGACTCTCCACAAAATCCACAGACCTTACGTTGCATTGACTTAATCCTTTATCCGGGACTGACCGCCCGGCAGATCCTCTCTTCACCATTCTCCCCGACTCTCTCCCCCCTATTCTTACAT